AAAAAAAAAAAAAAAAAAAAATAAAATAAATACAAGTTTTAGACTTAAAGATTCATTTTGAGTCTCCAAAATTGTACATATTTTATTTTGACCTCCTAACTTTTAAATATTCTATTTTACCCCAGATTCAGCTTTACTGGGGATCATGGGATCGACCTCTTTTTTGGGGTTTAAAAAAACACAGACAATGCAACCCTTTACTACAGCAATTCCCAAATCACGTGTACTTTTTTTTAAAAAAAAAGAACATAAATTACACATAAAACACGGGTTCATAATTTAAAGTTCAAAAAACTCGATCAATTCAATCGATTTTGAATGTATTTGGATTGATTTTGTGAGATCTCCCGTTAATTGGAGAATGAAATGAAACATTTTTTTTATAAGAGTAATGGGATAAAGACGGAGAATATCTAATAATTATAGATTAAATTGATGTGCGGTGGTCCAAGTTATAAAAGAAATAAAGGTGGAACACAGTCTTCTAGTCATTTACTTACTTGAGATTCGAGCTCTCTCCCTCAACATAGTGTGATTCCTCTGCTTCATTTAAAACCCTCCATTTTTTTTTTATCTTTGGATCCAGACTGGATGCTTTGTCGGTTTCTTTTTTCTTTTTCTTTTTCTTTTAATAACTATATTTATTATTATTATTATTATTCTGTAATAGCCCAAACCCTTTGGGCCTTGATTCGGGTAATTTGTTGGGCTCCTTCTTACGTGGATCGGCCCATTCTCATCATTGGGCCTGCTTCTTCTTCAAACAAAAAGCCCTATATATATTTATTTATTTTAAATGACTTTCTTTCTTACTAACCATAAATTTAAGTATATCGGTGATTTAAGGAAAATGATTAAGATTTATTTGAGATTGTTAGCCACAGTCTCGTATATTTATTATTGATTATTATTTTTAAACATCCATGATATATATGCATTTGAATCATCGTAGCGGTGACAAATTATCAAAATAGTTTTCTAAATAGAATTTTTTTCTAAATTTTTTAATATAATTCGACCAAACTTTGGTTTCTACGGTTGATTAATCCAATGCACATGACTAAGAATAACATCTAAGAATAGATTCTTTAGGGAGATGCTCTAATAAATCAATTTAAGAATAGATTCTTCCTTCTATAATTTATCAATATAAAAATTAATGTAGCTTACAAACTAAACTCCATCGTTCCAACAGAACAAAAGCTAGTCAAATAAACAAGAACATATTCATTAGCAAATATTGGTCTTAACTCCGGTTCATTCGAGTCCACTTCATTTGGGTTCAATCCAACATGTAGGATCTCACCGTCAATCTCATTTGATTCGAATACGTTCATCTCTCTTATTAATGTGGGATCTCACTTGTGTGTGTGACTTGAAGCTTAAATATGTTGTTTGCACTCATCAGGGCCATTTTTCAAGAAGAAACAAAACTTGTTATATTAATAATGGCAGAGACAATAGGTGATGAAACGAACATACAACTAAGAAGTTTCAAACGATTCGCAAATTAAACATCTTAAACTTAACCCAGAAGGCCAAATATAATAATATTCCCATAAAATCTCTCTTTGATTAGAAATCTTTAAGCACCTTTCGGACTTGTTCCAGCGTCACGAATAGCACCACCGTGAACGGCCCCTGCCGCGATATCGTTGGAATGAACCCCTTGTACAGCGCCATCGGCCCCTCCGCTCGTACTGTCTTCAACGCGCAATCCAACGCGCCAGAGTACGGCGCCGCCGCTCCGGCCTCCACTTTCATGTTCATCACCCTCGTTTTAATCACGTCCACTGGATTTGACGCCACCGCCGCCACGAACCCAGCAGCGAAACTCGCTGTCACGTGGGTTCCCAACCCATCCTTCATCAATTCCTTCTGGAGAATCGTCTCTTTAATCTGATCGTACGATGCTAACTGCGAGGCCGTTACCAACATCGCACGGTTCACCGTCAACGACGAACCACGCCATAGGCTCGTAACGCCTTCGCCACGTGCCATCTGGGTTATGGCATCCACCACGCTTTTGTAATTCCGTCGCTGCGCCGGTGGTAACCGGCCATCAGCTTGCATTCGAACCATCGCCACATCAGCCGGATTCCCAACTGCAGCACCAATCGCACCGGCGATCAATCCGGCCGAGATCTTCCGAACGAGCGGCAATTTCCCAGTATCCTGATCGGTCCACTTCTGCTTGAGAACATCATACAGCCCCATACGGGTAGTCGAATACAGAGTCTGCCGTAGAACGGTGGCGGAAACGCCAGAAAACAGAGCGGCAACTCCTTCCTTCTGCACAATACGAACACCAACAGCAATTGGGCCAACACGCGGCGGCGGGGTGGGCAAATTCATCGCCCTCGGAGCCGTTACAGAGGTGTTCTGAAAAGCAAGAGCCGGGCGGAGATTATGAACAGCAGCCGTAGGCCCCTGTTTCTCGCCCTGAAGTTGCATTCGGACCTTAATCAGATCAAGCGGGTGCGTCGAACACCCTGCAACAATCGAAGCAATTCCACCTTCAACAAATCCCTTCACACCCATTTTTCAGAAATAAAAAATTTTCTGGGTAAACAAACAGGCAGAATCAGAGAATATGATCTGGGAAATTGGAGAAAACAGGAAGGGATTAAGAAGACCAATTGGAATTAGAGGTCATATCGCTAGAAACCAAGAGATGGGAATGGAGGCCGAAGGCGATGGAGGAATAGTGTGGAACGAGAGGTCTATGAGACATATGCTAACAGAGTACTCTGTAATACGCAAAGAATGAACGGTGAATTGGGGAAGACGAGTATGTGGGGAAGGGAATTTATAGCATTAACGCCCAAAAGACGGGGCTTTTACTTTTCCGACCCCTATTCTTTTCGATATTTACAATTCCCGCCCCCAATTTACGCGCTTCTCCTCCGTTGTGCCCCAACTTCCTTTCTTTTTCCTCTTACTTTCCTTTTTTAAATTACCAAAATATTTTACTTATTTGTTTTTGTTTATGGTAAATTATATTTTATTGCATGTTCTTTTACCTTATAAATTTATCTCCATATAATAAATAGTAATAAAAAATTCCAATTTCAACTCTAAATTTTATTTTTGACTTAAATTAATAATGTTTTTTTGATGAATTAAACAGTGTATATATTAATAATTAATGTCAATTATAGGTAGCATTTATTTTGAGATGAGGTTGATGTATATCTAACAACTAACCTTATTCCATTCTTAAAAACCATAATTGAATCCACATTTTCATATTTATAATCATTCGTTACCACGTATGTGTATATATATATTTATTTATTTATTTATTATTTTCATCTGCTTATTCATCTCACCATTTAAAGAGTAAAAAGAAAAGAAAAAAAAAAATAGTCCCATTCGATATAATTCAACTAATTAAATATATATATATATATGTAACCACGCCCTTATTTATTATTTTCATGTGCTTAGCAGATATTGTCATATTTTGGTTCCAATGTGTTTATTAGGAGAGAGATTTATTTCCACGCCCTTCTCTAGTAGAGGTTTCCACCCGTTCCCCAATATCCTAGTTGGCGCAATGCAAGGTTTTAAAACGTGTTCACTAGGAAGAGGCTACCCCCTTCTCAAAATTTACCCTTTTTGGGGACCCAACATCCTCACTAGCACACGGATGTCAGTCCTCTTTAGACTTTTCCTTCTAGGCTTTTCCTCAAGTTTTAAAACGCGTCAATTAGGGAGAGTTTTTTTTAAGAGAAATGTTTTGTTCCCCTCTGTAACCTAGGTACAATCTCATAAGAAAATAGCGATTTAGAATTTTAAAATAAATGAAGTGTGATGTCATAATTTGTTTATATGGTTAACAAAATTATTAGAAAGGTGAATAAAGAGGAATTTAATTAAGTAATTAAAGGGTAACTTTACCTAAAAGGTTGTGTATTATTATTATTATTATTATAATTTTAAAATTTGACGTGGGCGGTCAAACTTGACTCTTTGACCTTTATTCCCGCAAAGAATAAGTCATCCTATCATTCAAAGCAAGCTGTATACAAACCGACGACTTTGTGTATAAAAATTTAAGCTTTATTTTACTCAATTTAATGATTTTCAGTTATTTTTCTTTAAATAAATAAAAAAAGCCTTAAAAAACTTCGGTTTTTTTTTTTGTTTTTGTTTTGTTTTTTTTTTGTTTTTAAGAATTTCTCAAATGTTAAAAAGCATATATTTCGAGAATTAAAAAAAAAAGAAAGAAAAAAAAAAAGAAAGAAGAAACTCTTGAAGTAAACCAAAAAAAAAAAAAAAAAAAAAAAAAAAATGGTTACAATAGGGGCAAACTAGTCATTTCGCCCCTATAAGTTGAGGGGTTTGTTTTGGCTGAGTTAAAATGGGGAAAAGAGAAAGAAGAGGGAAAGAAGATTAGGGTTTTGAGGAAGGGGAGGAGATCGGATCAGAACCGACGCCGGAGAACCGAGTCCCCAATCTAAACCGTTGAATAGCTCGAGGCAAGGTGCTCTCACGAATCGCACCTTCCTATCTCGACAAAACGTTCAAGAACTTCAGGTTAGTCCACGAGTATCTACATGGAGAAGTCATCAAAATTTTCGTGTGCTAGCAACGTTTTGTGTTGATCCTTGGACTCTTACCCCCCAACAGCGCTATCTGGTTAAGTTCTGAAGTGAAGGCGGCCAAGATCGGCGTTCAAATCGGAGTTTAAAGATAACGTGATTTTCGGTAAGAACTTGTGTTTTTCTCCGAATTTGAACTCAAATAATAAGATCTGTGATCATCAGAAAAATTTAAGAAAATTCTTTCCAAGGAGTAGAATAGGAGGTCTACAAGTTTCGTGAAGAAAATTTAACGAATCGGATTACGGATTGGAAGATAAAAAAATCGAGAGAAAATAGATTGAAACGGGAAAGAGACCTGGAAAATGAAGGCGGGAGAGAGGGTGGAGGNAAAAAAAAAAAAAAAAAAAAAAAAAAAAATTGAAGTGAAAAAGTTAATGTCAAATGTAATTAAAACAATTGATGCATATAAAGTCAAATGTTATCATTTAATTGCTTTTATTTTATTATTATTTAGACAACTCTTAAAAAACCAAAGTAAATGAAGGTGGAGGGAAAATTAAGACCTAAACAAGAAAGTCAAGTGTCCACCATAATTGGACGAATAAAAAATAACTTAAAACAACTCAATATCTATCTCATAAAAATTAAATAATGAATTTTCAAAAATAAAAAAAATAAAAAATAAAAAAAGAAACAAGGAGAAGATTAGACATGCAAGTAGAATTCATATTTTCAACTCTAATTAAACTAATTAAAATATCAATTACTTGCTCAATCAGAGTTGTAATAATTTATTTTAAATTAACGAGACTAAATAAAAAAGTCAAACCCTTCGACACCCACAACCGCTTTGGCTCTGATACCATTTGTAATAACTCAAACCCACTACTAGTAGATATTGTTCGTTTTAGTCCATTACGTATTAGTTCAAACCCACTACTAGTAGATATTATTCGCTTTAGCCCGTTACGTATCACCGTTAGACTCACGGTTTTAAAACGCAGTCCATTTAGGGAGATGTTTTCACATCCTTAAAATGCTTTATTTTCTTCTCCAATCAACGGGAAATCCCACCATACAAATAGTTCAAACATGATTTAAGTCTATGTCTATTCCATATATAAGAAAAAAACAAATCCCACCATGCAAATAGTTCAAACATGATTTAAGTCTATGTCTATTCCATATATAAGAAAAAAACAAAAACTTACCTCATTACTTGTTTTGTTTTGTTTTTAGTTCTACAAATTTTGTTTTAGTAAGTAAAAGAGAAGAATGCCCAAATAAAGTGAGAATTTTTTAAAAATAAATAGTTATTAAATTTTTAATAGTGATCTAAGGAGATAAGTTTTATTTAAAAAAAATTGGATGATTCGTAGTGATGATGAATGCAAAGAATGAAGCTATGGCAGCTCATTCTCTTTTCTCTCCCACCTGTTTTTATGCTTTTCCAAGCTTCCTGTTCCTTCGTTTCTGATTCTCATTCCTGACCTGTATTCCTGTTACCCTCTCTGCTTTTCCGTTTGTTGGCTTGCACTCCATATGCCCTTTCAAGATCTTGCTCGGTAAGTGAATGGCCACCGTCATTGCAAAGTGATGGATCCTTGGATGGGGGCAGTGATGAGAAAGGAAAGGCCGGCGGCAATGGCACGGTTGTTGGTGTGGTAGGAACTGAGGGAATTGTTGGTAATGGTGGCATAGGGGGCAAGGTAGCCTTTGGCATTGTTGGTGCTGAAGGAAATGGAGGCAAGGGAGGCTTCGGCAGCGGTTGAATCGTCGGAAGGGGAAGCAATGCCGGTGTGGATGGTAGCGGCGTTAATGTGGCCTTGGGCAGTGGCAGCAAGGATTTTGGAGGGAATGGCAGTGGAGGAACTGGAGGTGGAGCTGCTGGTGTATCGAGAAGGTGACGACGAGTAGCAAAGCTCTTGTTGATGCAAGCCAATGACAAGGTTACAAATAACAACTCGAAGCAACCCTTGAAAGCAGCCATGGTTTTGAATTGGAAAGAGGCAAGCTTTTTCCAAATTAAGTGAACTTAACTAGATTAACTTACAGAAGATTCACAAAATGAGGGGAAAAAGGTCTACATATCGTATAATTTTAGGTATTATGTCCCGATAGTATTGATATTAGAGGCTGGATGGCTCCAGAAAGGCCATCACAACTAATTACAAACTGCTAATTATGTTACTTAGAGAAAGAACAGACATTTTCAACAGCCGTACCTGTTAGGTGTTGGGAGTCGGGTATGCCAATCAGTTCTGGGTTTTCTAGCAATCCATGAAGGCTTTCTCATAACAGCATCCAAAGCCCTCTTAACCCCTCCTGCTGCAGGTCCTTCTTTAGGGCCTTGCATCCACAGAACAAACTTGTTCCTTCCACCCACACTCACCATCTCTGCTCTCACCACTTTCATCTTCACTGTTTTCAGTGCTTTCCCCAATTCTGCCATGATGTCCTGCCTGTCTTCGCAGCTCATTACAGCCTTCACCATCCCTTCAACACCATCACAGTTTTCTAAGCTCAACCTATTTGCCCCACTAGGGATCCCACATTCCTTGACCCCTCGATTGGCTGCTGTCTTTTCCGATACAAGCTTCTTAAGCTCCTTTACCCTACGGATTGTCTCAGCAAGCACAAAAGCCTTTTTGTGCTTACGCTTATCCGTCTGTGTCCATAACCATTTCTTTTCAAGTGTCAGTACACACAAAGTTTAACGTGTGGGTTTTAAAGATCGATTCGAGATAGATTTTCAAGGAAGTTGGAACTTACTTTGGATAGGCTGGGGAGGATGGCACGGAGGGTGGCATATTGGCCGCTGATTCTGTTCCTTCTGTTCTGCTCTGCCAGGCGGTGCTTCTGGGCTGCATATAATTTAGGCTCCTTCCTTGGCAAGGATGAGATTGGGCTGTAATTCTTGATTGTTGGAGGTAGCCATTGAGGATAGATCCGTTCCATAGTTCCTGAAGTTGGGTAGCTCTGCATGGACTGCATGACCTGTTCAGACAATGAAAGGACATCTATACAGTGAAGAAGAAGAAAAATGAAAAAGGTTAAGTAGCTAAAAGGAAAAGAATTGTTAAGTGGTGTCTCCAATAGTTACCTGGTGCAGTAAAACCATGGGGTAACAAGGTTCGCCTTTCAGTTGCACCTTTCTGGAAGGGAAGAGAATAGCAGTGATTGCTGCAAAGTATGACTATTGAGGTTTTTTTGTACACTGAAATTCTCCATTTTCAGAGTGAGGGAGAACTAATTTATTGCTTTATTCCTGTGCTTAAAGATGATTATATAATATCCAATCTCATAATTACCATTTACTTTTGAGAACAAAACATAATTCCCATTTATCATGCATTTTGATTCTGTATTTATAATGATAAGATCTGGAGACTCGGAGTAATTTAACCAAATCACATCTCAGCCATCCGCATGAACAGAATTTACCAATGGTAGATGATAATGTTCATAACATTTCATTACAGATCTTATTGTACAGTTCCAATTCAAGAATGCACTAACACCATCAGAAGTTTCATCTAAAATATTTCATTATCTTTGACAAATATCACAACCCCACATTGTATAACTTAAATCCCATCGCCTGCCTCGACCTATACTCCTAGGAGTCACTTCATCTCTTACAAGCTACAAGTTCCATGCAGTCGAGGATCTTGGGATAGCATTATACAGTAGGGGTGTGGCTTGGAAGATAGTCCAGTTACTGCTGCTCGTTGGACAGAAGTTGTCTTAGTTATGTTTAGGACTGATAATTGCAACCTACAGAATGGGTGGTCATTGGTTTCTAGTCCAATATACTCTCTTATCACAAGACTATATCGATAATTTGGGTTGGAGATCTGTGGAGACAAAGCATGCTATCAAAGAATAGAGCAACAGACATCCATTAAAAATCCAATCAAATAAGGTGATCAACTATAAGAGCCATTACTCTGTTTCAGGCATATTGACACAACTAAAGTAATCCATTGAATCAAGAGAACTATGTGAAGTTACCACTTCTGAATTTTCCTGGAAATGATTGAGCAGTACTATAGAAAGCTAGAGAAAATGCAATACAAAAATCTAGATATTGTCCGCAATTCATAATATTCTGCAACAGGCTTGTACTTCAGTAATAACAATATATTAAGGGATGAATAGAACTTACAAAGCGAGGACCTCTTTTCATACATCAAGAGAGAACTTTCCAGTATTCAGTCACCAGATTTCAACAATAACGAAATAATTTGAAAACGAACAAAAACCAGCACTCCAGATACTATAGCTGCTACTTCCAAGTTCCAACATCAAAGTTCTGGTAAATCAACGAAGATATCACCATTATCCATGCAAAATTCCATCTCGCCACATTCATATTCCCCGTTGAGTTCATTGTCCAAATGATCAGCAGCCATCAATCCACGTCTATTCTCAATCCCACTTCTGATTGTCTCTCCAGTTCCCACCGACTGCACGATTGAAAGTTCCCCACAAGATCTTGACTGTAACTGAGAAATCTCTTGCTTTGCACGATCATCCTCGTCGAGAGTACCCAATTTCTCCTTCAACTTTTCACAAAATTCCTTGAGATTCAGATGGGTCGATGTGCTCTCCTGGTTCGCAATCACCCTTCTCCGTTGTATGTTATTACTACCAGAATCGACATCGACATAATCCTCAGTTTCATAACCTTCAGTTGTCATACTGTCAACATCGACCTTTGTTTCTTTATCATCCGCCGCCGCAATCTCTTCAGAAGAGTAGCAAATTTTAAATAACCCTAGACTAACATTATACAGCTCCTTCCCCTCCACCATTGTAATCTTGGGTAATGGTCCTTTAATGGCGACCGCCTGGAAAGCCCTTTGACAGTTCTGGCACCGGAGACAGCAGTCGAGATACACTATCTCGTACTTGTAGATATAATAGCAATATGGACAAATCGTCCAAAAGCTCTCGATTCCGTCCTTCACATTGTTCGATTTCTTTTTTCTTCCCCGCTTGCTTCTTAAACCTCTTCTCATCTTAGTCTCAATTTCGCACTTCGTACAGTCCTAATGAAGTACCAAAATCCAGATGGTGGTTTTCAAGTGGCGTAGAGGGTTCGATCGCTCCCGAGATTTGGGGCCTATCTAAGCGGAGGAAGACTCGGTCGGTCGTTGAGAAGATTCGCAGAGGATTCTTGATGATTCTTTCCGAGTATGAGCAAGTTCTTCGATCACTCCATCTTTTACCCTTGGGAATCTCCAGTGAAGAAAGAAGGGCAACCAGTTAAGCTCTCAGAGTGAAATCTTCCTAGAAATCTGCCGCGGCGGGGAGACGGCGGATAAGCCGCGACGGAAGGGTGTTTTAGTCTTTTCGGGTATTATATTGCTTGAAACGCAAGCTTAGTACTCAACTGTGCTCCACTTGTTCAGCGTGATTGGGGTTTTATTAAATCTCTAGAGACAAATTTGGCGCCAACGTGAAACGACACCGTATCATGCAATTCCAAATTGTTCAAATTCTTTATAGTTAATATTAAATTGAAGGTGCCCAGATCCCAAATTTTGGAAACTGTGGGAAATAATACCATAAATGGTTACACAAATTAGAAAAGGGCTAAATTAACTATTATAAAAATATAATCTAAAAATTAACGTATGCCTAAATCCACGTATATTGTTCTTTGGGCTTTCCCTGTCGGGCTTCCTCTCAAACCTTTAAAACACGTCTCCTATGGGAAGGTTTCCACACCCTTATAAATGGTGGGTGGTTTGTTCTTCTCCTCAACCAATGTGGGACATCACAATTCACCCCCTTCGGGGCCCAGCGAGCAACCAATGTGAGACATCACAATTCACCCCCTAGGACCCAGCATTCTCGCTGGCACTCTTTCCCCCCTCCCATCGATGTGGGACCACCCCCAAATCTACCCCCTTTGGGGCCAGCGTCCTTACTGGCACACCACCTTGTTCTTCTCCCCAACCAATGTGAGACATCACAATTCACCCAGGGCCCAACGAGCAACCAATGTGGGATATCACAATTCACCCCCTTCAGGACCCAGCGTCCTCGCTGGCACTCTTTCCCCCCTCCCATCGATGTGGGACCACCCCCAAATCCACCCCCTTTGGGGCCAGCGTCCTTACTGGCACACCACCTTGTGTCTACCCCCTTCGGAGAACAGCGAGAAAGCTAACACATCGTCCGGTGTTTGGCTCTGATACCATTTGTAATTGCCCAAATCCACCGCTAGCAGATATTGTCCTCTTTGGGCTTTCCCTTTCGGGATTTCCCTCAAGGCTTTAAAACAACCAATAAATGATGGTTTGTTCTCCTCCCAACCAATGTGGGATATCACACGTATCCTAACTATACTTACATGGATTCTGATCGTCATTTTCGTCCTACATTCTACTAATTTTACTCATCCAACTTAATTTTGAAACATTGTGACGGTCAAAAATAAAATTGAAAGATTTTTAATCAATCGACAAAGTTCGACTTGAATAGACAGATAGAACAGAACCTAATAGTCAAGTCTAAATAGAGAACATATTTATTTCCATGAATGAAACTTTTCCGCTTGGATTTATATAAAATATCCCTTTTAAGAATGAATATATAGATCTCACATTCATAATTCTGAAGCAACAAAATTAACGCAGTAGATGAATGGCAAAAGGACCAAGGGTTGAATGGAACACTAGATTTAACTTGATCTAAAAAATTGATGAACAATTACTTTAAAGAATTGCTTGATGCATAATCATCTGTAAGAGTACCAATGAATCTAAAAGAACAATCAGGCTCTTATCTCGTTTCATTAATGGAGGCTATCATATTTCGGCGCAGGGCCAGCACCATATGTGCATAGGTTACTGTCGTTGCCATGATAAAGACTCCAATCAAGATGCACACAGTCGTGGCACACGCGTATAAATACCTGGAGAAATAAGGCAAATCATAAGTCTAGACGTACGATAATCTCTTAACCAATTGAGTTATACTCGAGACAATAAGAAGTTCTATAACGTTTTTACGTGTAGGTAATCCTATGGTAGAGCTGAAAGTCAGATAGAGAATTCCTGAGGACTTACTTGGGAGAAAAAACACTCCAAACAAAGAGATGGTTCCTCATTAAGATCAATACTATTGTGTACGCGATCAGCAAGATCGAATTGACAGTCAGTGAAACCAGACAAGGAAGGCCAAGAGTCATCTTTAGAACATGACCGGAATCTGCACTTTGAGTAGAGGCAGCAATGTCTAGATTTTTAATTGAGATATACATCACCATACTTAGCAGCAGCAGTGTCGGTGATGCATAGGTGATAATGAACATCAATATGCCAGAAAATAGTGTTGAGTAGTTTGAAACGCCCTGACAAGGATAAAATTGTTATTGTGAAGTTCAAGAGAGCATAATAAGTAATTCTGTGGAGCACAAGGGAGAAGAAATTACAAGGAAAGCTCCAGCAACGTCGATTGTAGCTAGAGAATTACTATTCCCCAGCGCAAAATGGCCAGCCATTCCTATATAGTACAACACAGCAACCTTTAAAACAAGAAATAACCATCCAGCATTAGCATGCATTAACGTTGCCAAAGATGAACAAGTATAAGAGACAGCAAAAAACAATTCATCATAATGCATCTATGTAAACTCACCTCGACCCATTGCTTCTGCTGCTGCATCCCTTGAGAAAAGAATAGAAAGCTGGCATAAATTTGCACCAGAATGAGTAACATTACTGCTGTATTAACTGGTTGTTGGAGCAGCAACTGCAGAAGACACCAAGAGCCTATGTACACCCACCCAGTAATATATAAACAATCTCTCAGTTCTGAATGTTGAGACTGACTCCCAATTTTAAAAGGACGAGAAACTGCATGATCACTTGAACATGCGTTGGAAACCTGAATAGGCATGACCCATGGTACAACCAGAGCAGTCCCGACTGTCGTAATACCGAGAGTTGCATAAATTATTTGTGCTAATGAAGTAGCAGCGTTGCTGGATGGTACTGATGTATTGTGTCGATATTTCACAATATGATGCAGTACAAGCAATCCCGACATCAAAAAGTTAAATCCAACCACTAGAATAAAATTTGTTTTCCTTCTTAATAATGATAGAGAAAATAAGGATAATATTATTGTAAGGAGAACAGAGGTTAATTGAATCAGCTGAAGATCAGTCCCCGACTGCTCAAGCCATTTCGATATGTCTGGAAGAAATGTCCAATTGACACCTCCTTGATGCCAGCCCCTTAAAATTCTTCCAGTGATAAGGAGGGTGAAGATGGAAGATGCCCTTAAACTAGTTCTTTCATGTCCACTAAACAAAGTAAAAAAACCACAGGTGCTATCTTTTTTAAAGAACTGCAATGTTTTACGAAGCAATAGCATATTCAATGTGGAGATCAAGTAATGCCAAATATATTGCTCTTCCTCAACCATAGAACTGGATCCCATACTGATAACCAGGATGAATATTACAGACAGAGAAAAACCCTCATCAAGATGCCATGTGAGAATACCATTGGAAAGCCGCTTCTCTCCAAAATAATTTTTTTGGATAATAGAGTAAAGGACGGCAGAAAATATTAGACAAGATAAGATCATTGACATCACTCCAAAAGCAATAACTTTAGCAGGTTTCTGCAAATAAAACAGAAGTGACAATTCACAATCAGCCACAAAGAACATTCTTAAATGATCGAATATTACATGAAATTTCAGAGTTTGTTCCAAAATGATGATAAAGAATAAATAATAATAATAATAATTCTTACATCAGTAGCTTTGTGTGATAACCATTGATTTGCACTTATCAGAAACTCATAGTATGCTGCAATAATTTCACTTTTGTCTTCTCTGCTATCAGACCTGTTCAAATTACAGGAAAAAGTTAATTTTTCCTGATCCATGGAACAAGTTCTCCAAATAGATGATCTGTGCCCACCTGGAAAGCTCCGTTGATATCCAGGAATCATAAAGAGCTGCAGCACGCAAATACAACCGGCAAAACTTCTCCATAATACCATTACTACTATATCCATTATCACCTGAAAAGCCATCACATGGGCGACTTCCACATTGAAAACCAGGTACCTGTCTTTGTAACAATCTAAGCAATTGCCAAGAATTCAATTGCAGTGCCCTCAGTTGTTGCATATCTGAAATCATCCAGAAAAAGGTGTCGCATTAAGATCACACAAGTTGGCATGCGATACAAGTCCAAAAGGCACTAAGTATGTTGCATTCTAGCACTAGGTATTAATAATAGAAATTGATGACAAAAGATAAAGCAGATTGCACATATAGCCCACTCTTTTTCTCTTTTCCCTCTGCATTTCAATAACTTCATTTCGATTCTGAAACCCATTAATGCCTCATGCACAAGGAAAGGGGAATTTACCCTTCAAAGAGTCCACCATTCCTGGAATCATGATGCCGACACTGTTTTTGGGTATTGGCACACCAAATAAAAGAGCTAAAGTGGCTGCAATGTCGACCTGAACCACATTCTAGGTAAGTCAGAAAATAAGAAAACATTCAGAATAAACAGAAATGGAAGAAAAAAAAGAAGAAAGAAAGAAGCATAGACAGCAAGATTTTCCTTATCAATACTGTGAAAGTAATACAAGTTTCTGACTCTTGTTCATATTTGTGTTTCACTAGAACACAAATAGAATGTAGAAGTTCAAAGAAAAGGTCTCAAGCTAAGTTTGAAAAAATGATAATTCTGTTTGAACAATTGGATGGAACGAACAGTAATGTATGACGAAGTTTATAGAATGAATTATTTAATACATAAAAATTTGGATGCGTAGTCTTAATACCAACTTGAAGAAACTGGGCGTGTAGGAGCTGAATACCTGGTTAACATCATTGCTGATAACTGATGCAGAGTCAGTGGCATGGCTTTTTGATCCAATAAAAAGAAGCAAGGAGTCAGTCTCTTCATACGATGACCCACCATGATTGCCATTTTCAGTCATCCCATGGTCACTCACCACAACCTACCTTGAAGTTCAAAATTAAACGGTTATAAGTGAAACCATTGGCATGATTTGAGTTTACAGTCTTAGACAAACGAGCCAGACGAATTTACAATCGCTAGTCAAGGAAACCAAAAGTGCCAAAAAAATTAAGCGCTAATTTAGACCGGTTTAGAGGACTTCAAGTGGATTAAAAGAAATGTCCATCTTTTTTGCCTCCCGGTTCATATATGCATTTCTATATGGCAATTACTTATGGGAAAGATTTGGACCACCTTTTCGTTCACAGCCTACCCGTTTTCTTCTTTTATTTGGGACAAACTTAAGCAGTTCTGATCGTTGAGGCACTCCTCCAAATTAATGTAAATCTCTTCTCGATATTCAATTTGGAACAGGGCCACGGGGCTGGGGAAAGATATTCCCAAGGTTGTGTCAATGGCTTTGTTTTGGGAATTCAGGGGGAATTTTTTTGAAGACTTCCATACATCCTCAAGACCATAAGGAAGGTTCATGTTTTGACCTCACTTTTGATCTGAGGAGTTTCCTTCTTAAGCACAACACTTTGGGATTCTGGTAACCCCACTTGTATAAGTTCTTCATAAGAAATTTCAGCTAATTATTGGAAAGGAATAAGCTTCCAGAAACAATGAAGCAGTAAATGCATTCTGACTGAAGCTCGATTATAAAAGGCACACATCAAACAGACATGCCAAACAGCACTATCATCTTCTTGGCTTACTCGCATCCAAGAAATGTATATTTATTACGTGATAAGAGAGGACAAGTTTCAGAACCATGAAACAAGTCAAAGAAAATGAGGAAGTGAAACAAACCAAAAGAGTCCTTTTATTATCTTCTGGGCTCATCATGGCACTGGCATGAATCATCCTCACCACTTCATCCATTTCCATAAGTTTTGGGGCCATTAAGGGACTGAAACATCCAAATGAAACTCATGAAATAAAATAATTAAATATATCAGATGTTAAAAAGTTAGAAACAGATAAATGCACCTGTTTCGACCACCAATATGCCCAACATGGTCCAAACCTAGATAATGAAGAATCTGAAATGAAGATTCAGTTAGAAGTACATAAAAACTGCATTTTTATTATGTAGTAGATTAATATTATTTAAATAATATGATAGAAGATTTGTCATGAAGATGAAACAGGCATCACAAGTATTTTGCAATTGTAAAATAAATGATGTAGTCACATATTGAGCCCTAAACAAAGTCAAAATTGCATAATTTTACTGTGAAAGCAATCAACTGTAGAGATTATTAGACGAAGAAATGCACAGGAGAAAATGTAACAAAAAGATGTTTAGGTTTCACTAAGGACAGAATAATCAAGTAACAAAGTTGAGAAACACTAATGAAAGAGGTTCAAAGAAAAAACCTGCAATCAACCCAAACAAACGACAAATAAATAAAATCATCCACGCCAAGTTGAGAGACAAAGGTCAAAGGCCTGTCCAATGAGGTACACATAAAAGTAAACTACTGAGTTCGTTAATATACACACACAAACTCGAATAACATAGAAAACAAAGACAATGAGTTGAACCATATTACTAACTAAACTGTAGATCATCTTCTATCTAAATTTAAATTTTGGTATTGTAGAGCATTTAGATATTTCAGTGCAGAAAAAAGTAATAGGCTATACAATTTAAATGCCCAAGAAAAAAAAAGGTAAAAGTACACCAAAAAGACTTACAAGAAGATTCCAGTCATTCTTGCTAAGCTCATAGCTTAAATGTCGAGAAACATTTTTATCTACCTCTACAGTATCTTTAACCTGCAGAAATAAGAGACTTGAATTGTATGTCATATTGTTAAATCTACAAGATAGAGATACATGATCACATTAAAAAAACTACAGAAGGGAAGTTTTCATCCAAACTTCGACGAAATATAAGCAACAAGGTATATCAAGTGATGTTCTAAATTGTTCTTAACATAAAATCTTAAACTATTGTAGTAGAATTAATTTAATCACATGTTGTCACTCCTTCCCTGAATGAGCTCATTTGACTAGGGTCCAACACATACCTCATATGTGGGTTCATATCTTTTTCTTTTTCCTACTTTTTTTTCCTTCTTTTATTTATTTATATTCTTTTGAAAGGGAACAATTTTTTTCATCGCATCAGAGGAGTCTAAAAAAAGAAGGTGGATATAAGGCATCGACCTTGAGAGGCCAAAGAGATCTATAAAAAGCTACTTCAATCGGCTTGCAACAAAAAAAAAAAACTTGAATGATTACATAAGAATTTGGAAAGTAAACATAGAAAGATTTAATAGAGTAGTCAAGCCCTAATCTCAGCAACATTGTTGCTTCTATCTTCAAACAATCTTGTCATTCGTCTCCTTCCACTCTGCCCACAGATTTTCTTTTGCTTCATTGAACCAAATCACATTGGTTTTCATTTCATACTTCATCGATAAATTGGTAGCATGCTCACTATGATTTCGAGTTAGGAATAATACTAAAAATTTTAAGATAGAATATCCTATTCTAAATTAAATTACTAATAACTTTTACAGTTCTCGCTACCACATAGAGTTCATTCAATCATCAAATTGGTTCTATACAGGAAGGGACCTGAAACATCAAAGCAACAAAGAAGTTCCAAGTAAAATGGTAGCAGCAGATACGTTTCCATTAACTAGCCAAAAATATTGTTTCTCTCTAAGTTAATTAACCTAATCACGAGGAAAGTTTCAAAGAATGCTCGGGGAATCAACACATGCCACATGAGCATCAGAAACACAACAAAAAGGCTACAGTCAATTAGCTTCCTTAACACCATTGTGCTTGCACAGCCAAAGTCACAAATCTTCATATTAAATAACTATTCCTTAGTTCCATGCATAAAAATAAAACAAGTGTTATGATAATTAAAAATTATGAAACTACAGGAATTGACTACACACAAATTCAGCAGCTATTGGAAGATAAAAAGAAATGATGTACCCACGCAATCTCTAAGAAGGAAGCAAACTGATGAACAAAATGCTAAGTAAGTAAAGCTATAGAACAAAATTATTCACTTTGGCTTGATACATCCTTAGATAACATGCCACAGGCGATATTTAGCTAGCTAGCTACTGGATCCCAAATAAATAAATAAATAAATAAATAAACCAGGTAAACCACCAATCTCTCTGTCCCAGTGTCAAGAGTCCATGTCAGTAAGGAATGAAGACATTACAGCACTAAGCCCAGAACACTGAAGTTCCATAAAGGCATGAAGTAGCATGCACTACACCCAACATCTTCCTTTGCATATCAGGTATTATACTTACAAAAAAGCTGCTAACTCCATCATGCCTCATAAAAAGCCCCGGAAACAACTTAAGCCAAGTTTCATCTCCGCACATCACCATTTTCCAACCAATTTTAGAAAACTGACCTATAATATGAAAAATGATCTAACTTTCAGATTCAAAATATGTTTACACATTTACTGAAACTGTACTGATTTACCAAGAAGATTGTCATCAAGTAGAGCTTGAGTATTGAAATTGAAAGCCACATCAAGGAATCCTCCGATAGCACCAGATACAATAGCCTGCAATCATATGCGAAAAAACAAGGTTTGTTCACTGCTGCATACCATTTTTGCCACAATAATCAAGAATGAAGAAATGATTACCTTCAGACGGGGCATTGTAACAGTTGGAGGTGTAGCCTTTGCATGGTAACCTTTTGCAGTTCCATCTGCCAACAATGATTGTGTGTATGGCATAGCCTCCATAAAGGTCTTGGTTGGAGGCCGTCCATTCCTACCAAGCACAAATTCTGCTGGAAGACCATCAATGACCTAAACTGACATGTTCGTTATAGAGAGAAACTACTTTCAAGCACCAAACAAAATTATCAACAATGGCAAGCTTGAAAAACTACATGTTTCTGACTGTAACTCACATACCATTAAAATAAGTCGATCATATAAAGGCGGAATTCCAGATAATTCCTATATGAAAAAGTTTTCAAGTCAGATAATGTCCTCAGTAAACTTGTTTGCATTTAAAAATTAAAAGATCAATAGGAAAGGGGGAAGATACAAAGTGAAGAGACAGAAGCTATGTTGTCTCCTGATGTATTTCAAACCACATACTATATTACAATACATATAATGAATGAAAAACCAACAGCTTCCTCTTGCATGCATGGAAATTATTATTCAACATTTGATGACTCATTAACCGAGTGTAACCAACTCCTTCACCCCTCATAATGTGTCCGAGATTACTGAGGGAGACTATGATTTTCCATTAATTTCATAAGGATCCGTCTGTAATCTTATTGTTGCCCATGGAATCATAACTTCAACTCTGTAAAGCTTAGTGATGCAACTAGTATCACTCTCAAGTCGTCTTATATAGTCTAGCACTAATGGAACCATTAAATCAAATAATTTCATAAAATGCCAAGAACTTGAAGAGGATTAATTACTTGAATAAGAAAAGGAAAACCCATTAGTTGGACTCTGATGTCATAATCCTAAAATCTTACATAATTGATTCAAGAAACATCTTGGAGAGTAGTAAAGGGCACCCTAATTAAGAACCAAGAACCGGCGGCTATAAGCTCACAAAGTGGACAGAGTCTGCATAGATTTTGATCCTACTTTGCAAGCAATCTCATCCATGCATTGAAATTCAATCAACCATCGTTTTACATATAGCAGACACAATTTCAACCTCATCCAGGAACATAAAGAGCATAACGATCTAAAAAAAAAAGTAATATCCTGGAAAGGACCTGATATAGCGACTGAAGCTCATGAGGAGGCAGATCTCTCTCACTCTCATTTTGGTTTGCATAGCACATGGGCGCGCGAAAACTTTCCGACCCACTGAAAAAGCCAAGTAACAGATGGAGAGAAATCTCATCAACGTGTAAATCTCAACAAGAAAGAAAATTCGTCAGCAAAGTAGATGTTTCAAAACCCGATGATTTCAATCTCATTGCTTCAATAACCATGAGAGGTGAGCTCACAGTACTATACCAGCTGGTTCAGCTGAAGCAAGCTTAACAACACCAAATTATTCTAACTTTCAAACTAGATGTACACCGTAGTTACTTTAAGAAGCTCTATCATCTAATGATGCTATCTTATTGTAGCTCAAGGATCAGAAAAAGAGCTGAAGAGCACCTGTCACCGGGTAGTGCAGGCTTGACGGGGAAAAACCCAAAGACGAAAAATGAGAGTCCAGTGATCTGAATAGCAACAGCTGCAACAGTAAATAGCGTTAGTCTAGTACAGGTTAGCGAAGAAGACATTTTCGGGTTGAAGAAGATGAAATTCCACTTCGTCGCGTTCTCTGCAGATCTCGGACCGAAGAGCCTACAGTTATCGAGGGGAAGAACTGAAGCTTTGGAAGCCGTCCCAAAATTGTTAGGAAAGACGGTTTAATTTGTTTATTCTGGTCGTCGAACAATATAGATACACTATATATTATTATTTTTACATTAAAAAAAACTTAATGAGGTAACTTCTTTGATCAATACTCGAACATTCTATTGAAATAATTGAATTAAGAACATCAATAGAGTTTTACCACTCTCCAGGCTCGTAGTTTTTTTATGCGATACTCGAAGATTCTATTGAATGGATTGAATTAAGGACGTCAATAAAATACCACAAATCTTTACTACGACCCTAATATCACTTACGAGCCTTGCAACTTTTTTGTTCGATATTCAAAAAAGCATGGCTCAAACACCACTATTAGGAAGAACAAACTACAAACTTTTATAATGATGCAATATGATCTACTTTGATTATAAGCTTTTCTGACTTAACTTTTGGTACTCGTATTCTCGAACGATTGGAGAAAGATATTGCATATTGTCCCTCGCACATCTTCCTTCGTTTGAATCAATGCTTCTAATAATGGTCATAAACTATGCAGAGAAAGACAACTTTACAGAGAAGATTAAAATCGTTAATTTTAAAGAGATTCAAAATTGACTTTTATGAACATTTTGATAATATTTCTAGGGGATAATTACTGGCAGTTCACGTGTGAGTGCATGCCTATTAATACAGATATTTTGCTAGGAGCAACAGAGAACATAAATTACAAAACAACAGCGCAAAATACCGTGGACAACCTCAAGAATTTTCTCAATATTATGTTAAGACAGGCCAGGCAGCAGCATGTCAACCCGCCCTCTTCACAAACTTGGCATTCATGATCTTACATCTTTCAATACTCCGCCCTTTTCAAGCTCGTCGACAAGATCCCTTAACGATGGAACTTTCATGGCCAAAGTTCTGTATAGTCGAGAATATCTTGCTCGGGTTCCATCTGCAGTTCTTGCCAATGCAAGCAAGCTCAGAGCCTCTGGGAGCTGGGAAAATACTTGTTTGATATCCTCCAAGCTCATGTTTTCTAAAACAGATGGTCTTGGAACAACTCTCACAATTTCACCACCTTTCGGTTCCTGAACACGGGCATCAGCCTTGATAACTAATTCTGAGTTTGAGTTTGCACCACACTTGATGATAAATGGTGTTGTTGAGCCTGTATTGAACTGTAGGACGTTCCACTGAGCGACATCAGTTTCTGCACCAGAACTCGAGTCCACAGACAGTCCACGGTTGTGTGATGCTGCTAGATAGATATCATCTTCTTCTGGAGTTAACTGCAGTAAATAAGTTTGGAAAAAAAAATTTAATGTATGAATGATATAACCATTCTCCAGCTAATGTCCTATATACAATCCAAAATTTGAAACAGCCATGCGCCTTCCAAGAGCACAGGTGTCAAAGGGATATTCTTATTTTACATCTGAGATAAAGTTCATTCTGAAATTGATATCTTAGAAGAAAAAGAGAAGCCGTTTAATCTTGCTGAAGTTCAATTTCCAAAATGGTACATGTTCAGAGGAAACATTGAATGAGGTTTCTTGATCTTGAAAAGCAACGACAAAATCAAGTCATTCAATAAACAATGTATAGTTCTCAAAAGAGTCGGTCAAGCTAGTATTTGATTGAATTAATTTTCTAGTTTCAATAACTATATCATAATGATAAATGAAAATATCCCACAAATATTTTGCAGGGTTGCCCACTGTTATGAAAACAAATGGAGATTTCCCACCCTACTCTGTTGTCAGCTTTAATGGTTCCACCCTAGTCAAATTGAATTCGAGCATAAATCTAAAAGAAAAACTCCGACAAAGTAGACCATATAACGAAAAAACATGTCGTATAAACAATTCAATACAAAATTTGGAACATTCTCATACCTCAACTGTCTGACGAGCATCAGTGATTTGCCTCCTGGCACACGGATGATCAATCTCAAGAAGAGAAGGCATTTGATCTGTTAAGTCATCAAGAGATGCAAGCAGTGCCTTTTTCTTACTTCTACTCAAAGCATTTACAGAGGCTTGTCTTACAATAGTCTGTTCAATAATTTTTTTTTTTGTAAATCTCCGTTGACTGACGCTGAAACAAAACAAGAGAAAATGAAAGTCATTTACGTAGAAGATTACCTTTAACTGCTTCAAAATGCCATCAAGGGAGATGAGAGAGGCAAGTCTTGCATCTTCAACAGCAGTAGAGGGATTTTGGATAGGTGAACCACCATCTTCCAGCATAAGTAAAGCAACATCATGTTTCATTTGTTGCAAAATCTGACAACAGAAGTTTTACAGATCAGAATATGCTCAAATATAGCCAAATGGAGAATGAAAAAAGTTTTACGTAGATAATATTTACAATTTAGCATTTATAGACGAAAATGCTAAACTATTTTTCAGTTTTTCATTTGTCGTAGAATCTGACAACAAAAAATTTGCATGTCAGAAAATGCTAAAATATAAGTAAGTAGACTGAAGATATGCACATAACATAGCCAATTTACCGTTAACAGCATATGTTTATTTGCGAAGTAGATCAACATGGAAGAACAGGAGGAATAAAGAAAGCAGAGATGAGTACTTGTTTCTTAACGTGGGTATGTACTCTTTAAGGTGTTGAGCTTCACAAAAGTAATATATTGACTAAGTATATAGAAGAGTGAAATAAAAATTATTCCTAGTACTGACATGAAAATATGGGGGCCTATAAAGATATGAAGTACCTTTCTTCTTTTATGATCGACTGACTCGAGGGCTGATCGCAACTTTGTAACTTGAGCTGCATCTTCTGCCTCTTCCATAGCCAAGGTACCGGCAATGTCCTGATAAAACAGAAAAATGTAAGTGAATGACCAAGAAATCATGGTCTGTTTACCACTTCTCTGTCAAGGTCGCAAAATTTGCCATGTGTTAGGAATATAAGATTTGTTATCCAGGTTCTTAACCAGTTGACTCCGCACAAAAATTTCATCAATCTGACCACACGAAGAAAGGACACAATGTTGAAGATGCTACAGTGTGTGCAAAATATAGAAATCATATTTGATGTGCTTAGGTGAAAGGACAAGAATGCAGTGGTATTTTCCCATGCAGCAATCTTGAAAGAAAAGCATTATTTTTCTAAAAAAGACAGCAATTGATAACGGGAGTTTTGTTCACTTCCTTTTTCCTCTGTACTTGCTCTTTAAACTCAACATTTAAGATTGTAGGCAAGTAGTCCGATGAAATTTGAACCAATAATATCCCAGTTGATCCAAATGAATTTGAGCCAACTTTGATTTATTGATGAGAATTTCGTGACAGTAAAAATTGAGGTTTAGGTAGTTGAGCAAATAATGACCTTTGTTGAATCTTTAAACAAAATGAAAGGGGGTTTCCATCCTCAAATGTGAGGAGATTAAAATGCATTCCTATTAAAATTGACTAGATCAATCAATCCACACTGGATCAAATAACACATTTTTTTACTCAAAGGAAGTCATCTTTCAAAATACTTTAGCAAACCATGGTAATTGGTGAACTGATCAATCTAAGCATTTATTCAGAACAATTTAAGTTTTTCTTCTGACATTTAATGATAGCCGACTTCAACTTTTCAAGAATTGGTTCACAACAAGATCAATGTGTACCTTCAAGTGCTGCAATTGGGAAGAATAGACCCGTTTCGTGTACTCAGAGAGAAGCTGGCCAAGAGCATCCGTAGATGGAGGCATTGCAGCGCCAAGTCCACCCATCCAACCATCCATGATAGCTGTTGACAGAAGTTCCAGCTGACCAGTTGCTCCCCCTGCTGTATCGTCTCCAGTAACAGACAAGTATTCGAAGTTCTCTATTAACCATGACCTAATCTGACGCTGCAGCTCACCAGCTGGAGTATGTACAAATAAAGCAGCCAAAGCCTTATTCCCAACAGCAAAGCTTTTTGCATCCTCGTTAATTTCTCTCAGTTTTCCAGCTGTCACTTGCAGCCTCGGAGAATCCTGTCCAATACAGTTCAAAGTGATAAGCACAAGTGCACAATTGTATCGTAATAATATACAACGTCCAATACAGTTCGGCAAGTAGAAAACCATTCTCTCGTGAAGTACTTCTCAATTCGTCTCCTGCCACCAGCATGTGTGCGAGAATACAAATTAATAGTTTTTCCTCATATCTCTTTGGGAAAGATAAAGGGGAGTATTGAATATTGATTATCACCATGCATTTGATCAGATAGGAGGAAAGATATGAAAATAATGACAAGAGCACTACCGGATCAAGACCCCGAATTTTGGATACTACTGATGAAAATCGGGACTTCTTTTCTGGTCTAAGATTCACTTTAAATCCTTGGATCTGCTCATCAATATAACGCACCGGAGATCTTCCTGGACTGTTACCCCTGCTGGAGCTTCTACTGCGACCAGTATTTGCCTTTTCAAGAAAACGCTCAACAGGAGAGACCTGAAATCAAAAAGATACAAGGACCGAATATGATGCGAAGTCAAAGAAAATGTACTTTGGAGAAGAGAAAGATAGACAAACATTAAAGATTTAAAAACCTTGATGGATTGCAGCTCCGGTGACCTAGCAAGCAAAGATCTTATGTACAATATTCTAACTCGTGAAACAAGCATTGTGTCCATCACCCTTCTTGGTTCCATTTTACGGATGAAAGAGAAAACAGCATCTCTTATTTCAGCCAGTATTTCATGCTCCCTAGAAGCACCTGCTTTAATAACTGCAGCTAAGACCTGCAACATTTATTTCAAACCAGTGACGAAAAAGTTCCTCTTATTATACTTCAGTGATCATTATCAGCCATGATCTGGAAAGAAAATAGTTCCGGCAATAAATAAACAAAAAAAAAAAAAAAAAAGATAGAAGACACAAAAAGAACCTTAAAAAAATCTTTACTATGTCTATGTCCCACACGGCTCCCACCAGAGAAACATAGCCCATGAAAAAACTGATTTAGCGACTGCTAATTAGTGAACCTCTCCTAGTACTCAAATAAAAGGTGCTTGTGCACTAAGATTCATATTGTAAAGGACAACAATGATGCATTTCCTCGTACTCACAAGAGATCAAAAAAAAGGTTTTGATAAAATAAAATAAAAATAAAGATACCACTAATAATTTTTTTATCAATAAACCTAGAAAGATGAATATCAATAGTCTAAAATTAAACTAATATATACCAGCATTAGAAGCTTGTTTGCACCATCTGAAATAGCAGCAGGGCTGTCATACTGTTCAGGGTCGAAATCATTCAGGGCAGATGTAAGATACTCTCCTGCTGGGGTAGTTTTAACTTTATCAGAACCAGCTTTAACTAAGGCAAGATTCCCCTCAGCTTTATCCACAGCTGATGGAGAAGGACCAATAGCCATCGAACCCCCTTTACTCTTGTCATTGGTTTCATTTCTGTTTTACCAACCAGGGAGTTCAGAGCATTTATGAAATAGCAAGTAATAGAACTGAATGCATTTACAAACTTCAGATTTGACTTTACCTGCCAGGATCCTGAGGTTGAACATCGCCAACACCTTGGGGACTTGCCAGCTGGAAATTAAATAAATATAACTGCCAATATAAATAATAGCGAAGCACCAAACAGAATGCCAACAATAATTGTAATAGCCCATGATACCATACACTAAATCAACGGCATGGTAACAGTATTAGCTACAAGAATCTAACTAGATATAAACATTCAAGAAGAGCATATGCACAGATGATGTAGATTTGGTTTCTTAAATAGTCAGCATAAAATTTCTCATAATCCAATTTCTCGGAAGTAGTCTAAACCTGAGCCCGGGAAATTGAGATCTTCTAGAGAATATGTTTACCTGGGCTGATCCTACCGAAGATGCTTTCTCCGTCAACCGATCAAACAATTTTTCATTTTCTTCATGTAATCTCTGCAAAAACAGCAACAGTTCATACCCCATGTACAAAACAACTGAAACTGGAGCATAAGAGTGACAACTAGCCAAAGATTTGGAATTTAAATTCAAACTAGTTAGATATACACCAAAACATGAAAAATAGGCTAAAACAATACGGAAGTATAGAACTCTAAGAATTTAGCAAGGAGAATTAAAATTCCAAAAGTAAACATGCATAGCTGAAAAAAGGTATTGTGTTATCTGTTCCAAGTATAATTTATATTGCTCACATTTCTTCTTAATTTATAGAGAGTTCTGAATTTTTAGAGGTACATGTGCTTTTTGTAATAAAGAAAAGACTAACAAAATATCTAGATACTAGTCTACCTGACAATAAAACTAAACTACCTGGATAATAGGTAACAATATAAAAAATAAACCTAACTAAATCCCTAGATTCAGCCAATAATATAGATATAATTAAAGCTAGGATTTACATAGATATAACTAAGGTCATTCTTTCCACACTCTCTTCAAGCCTTCAAGTTGCGAAATAGATATCATTCATTCTCAACTTTGACGGGATAGGATTATGTGCAATATTGATCACACGGCTTTGACGATACGACCTCAGTATCAAGCACAACTTCAACAGTAGCTATGAAGGCTACGTCGATTAATCACACCTCTCCTAATAAAATGGATCTGATACCATGTTGGCAGTGTAAATTATCTTGCTCACGTAAAATGGATCTGATACCATGTTGGCAGTGTAAATTATCTTGCTCACGTTTTTTCTTAATTTTTAGAGAGCTACATGTGCCGAAAGGCTAACTAAATATATAACAATATAGATACCAAGAAAAAAACTAAATCTAACTAAACTCCTGAATTGTTAGATATTAGGTAATAATATAGATATAATGCTAGGATTTACATAGATATAACTAAGGTCATTCCTTCAACACTATCTTGACCTACTAAAAAACAATAATCTTACCCAAGGAGAGTTCAAATTGTATGGATAAATGTGGTTAGAGTAATAGATTAGGAACTACGGACAGAGAGAAATCTATACATCCTTGA